AAAGTGACCTCGCTGAGCAGGTCAAACAAAACAATCTTGGGACCAGATTTGGCCTTATCATTGACAGTGTGTGATTCAATGACCTTAGCCTGAATCCGTTTACTCAATAGCTGGCCTCTTCCTTCCTAGCTAGAATGTGTCACTTTCTAGTTCCTTTGGTGGAGATCTGTGGCAAATATTAGTCTGCTGTCCCAGTTTCCTCTCTGTTGCTATGATTAAAACAGCACCCAAAAGTAAAATTGGTAGGGAAATGATTTATTTAGCTTACATTTCCAGGACATAGTCCATCACTGAGGAATATCAGGGCAGGACTAAGGCAGAAACATGAAGCAGAAACCATGCAGGAATGCAGCCTGCTCGCCCGCTTGCAGCTTTCTTATGCAGCCCCTAAGCCACCTTCCCAGAGAATGGTGACAGGACCCTATGATAACAGTTGATAGTCAAAGAAATGCCCCACAGACATGTCTACAGGCCAGTTCCATCTGGGTGATTTCTCTCTGAGATTCCCTTCTTGGGTGATTCCAGACTGTCAGATTGTCAGGTCAATTGACAGGCATCAGGTTCAACTGTAGACATCTTCCAAGCCTTGAAGGTCATAGGACATTCTTTGCTCATCACCCTGCTGTTGATCACATCAGAGACTTCAGCAGCTAATGACTCCTGTGATTATTCCTCCCACTGACACTTAGTGTGGCCGAGTTCCAGAACCCAGATGTATTTATCTGAACACTCTTTTTACTGTTCTTCTGTCCATCCCACTTCCTCTTGGACAAGGTATATTTAGAGACCAGCTCAAGATGCTCAGAGATCTCCATTGCCCTTGTCTTGCAAGACTTGTCCATATCTTTCTCCTCCTCCTCTTCCTCCTCTTTCTTCTTCTCCTTTTCCTCCTCTTCCTCGTCCTCTTTCTTCTGCTCCTCCTTTTGAGATAGGACCTTACTGTGTAGCTCTAGGTGGCCTGGGATTCACAATGATCTGCCTACTTCTTCCTCCCAAGTACTAGGATTAAAAGTGTGCCATCATGATGCCTGGCCCTCCTTAAACATAGAACAATCTGGGGATCTCCTTGAATTTCAACAAAGTGAGTTCAGTTAAAAATTTTGCTCTTGTGAGATGAATCATTATAGAAGTTTAGATTGTTTTATAGTGCATTTATCTGTGTCCAAAGAAAGGAAAGGAAAACAAAGTTGTGGGTTTCCCTAATGATTCCAAGGGGAATTGTGCAATGAACTTCTTTAGCTGAACTGTATTTTTTATTTTTATTTTTATTCTATCTGTCTATCTATCTATCTATCTATCTATCTATCTATCTATCTATCTATCTATCTATCTATCTATCTATCTA